TTGTTGGGGGTAAAGCTAGATACCATGACCATGAAGCAATGGTAGCTCAAGGATCGACATGTCTTAGGATTGATCCGATTGACGCTATCCAAGAACGTGTTCAACATATTTATAGGGATTGTCAATATGCTTCAAATACCTTACCTAAAAAATACTCTTAAGGAACACTTGATTACCATCACTAGAAGGAGGGTTTGAACCTCCAACCTTGTGGTTATGTTAATATGCTTCAAATAACTTCCCTTCGGAAACACTTGATTACCATCGATAGTAGGAGGGTTTCAACCTTGTGGTTATGTTAATATGCTTCAAATAACTTCCCTTCGGAAACACTTGATTACCATCGATAGTAGGAGGGTTTGAACCTTCGACCTTGTGGTTATGGGCCACACGCTCCAACCAATTGAGCTATTCCAGCCAGGTAATTAAATATTTCGAGCCCACAAGATGTTGTCTGCTTTCACTCGTTCGTATAGCCGTCAGCCTCACAGTTTTGAAACGCATCTACTATGGAGAGGTTTACCAGCGTCCTCGTTGACAGTCTACTAGGGAGAGGTTTCCACACTCTTATAAGAAATGTTTCATCTTCTCTCTAATCGATCTGGAATCTTACAATCCACCCCCTTGGGGGCCTAGCGTCTTCGCTGGCACACTGCCTGGTGACTAGCTATGATACCATTTGTAATAGCTCAAGACCATCGTTAGCAGATATTGTTCACTTTGGCGCATTACGTGTCACCATCAGCCTCACGGTTTCAAAATATGTCTACTAGGAAGATTATTCCACACCCTTAAAATAAATGCTTCCTTACCCTCTCCAACCACTAGCAGATATCTTCCATTTTGGCCTGTTATGGATCGCCGTTAGTCTCAAAGTTTTAAAACACGTCTATGAGCAAAAGGTTTCCACACCCTTATAAGAAATGGTTCATTCCCCTCTCCAACCAATTTGAGATCTATTAATTGGTAGTTAGGATGGTCAAGTGGTCTAAGGCGCCAAACTCAAGTTCTATTCCTCGTGATAGGGTATGGGTTCAAATCCCACTTTTGACACAATTCAAATTATTGTTATAAGCATTTGCTAAAATGGATAACATGTACTACTACCACCATGGTTGGGGGTGGTGTTTTTGTTTAAAAATATCTTTATTTACCATCAAATGATATGAACTTATGAGATCTTTTAGCTTTCGAATTTAATTAAATTAAATGGTGATGTGAACTATGAGCATCATTTTAGCATGCATCGTCAATCAATACATCATACAATATATGTCCTACATTATATTAATAAAGCATAAAGGACACATGTCAGTGCAACTAGGCACGTTTTGTCATACATCAAACTTAGCCTACCCTATAGTAAGGTTACTTACTTGGTTGGGCTCAGCTGGCATTTCTCTACTTTCGAATTTGCTAAGTTTTCATTCCTCAAAGTTGCTCCAAACGTTATCAATGGGTTTCCTATTAGAGCATTCATTTCATTAACATTTCACATTAGTGTAGTTTAACTTGAATTCATGAAATAGTGCATCATACTGCCCTTATCTATCTTACTTATGAACATTTCATATTTATAATGTAGTATAATTTGAATTCATGAAATAATGCATCATATTAACCTTATTTATCTTAATTATGGTCAAATCAGCTTCGGGAGGGTAAAAAACGTAGGGGTCGGTGTCATAATTCCAAAACTGAGCATTTTAAGCCTAAGGACTAGGCGCAGCCAAGCTGAGCTATGAAGCTGAGGGATTTTTTTTGCTGCAAGTTGACGTGTGGTGCAATAAGGCGCTGACGCGTGTGCAGGCTGGGTGCTGGGCGGTTGCCTGTAGGTCTTAAGTAATTTGGCTTTGCCATGGACTGTCAGGTTTTGGGCTGCATGCGTTGCGGGTTGGATGGGCAGACGTGGGATCGCGGGTGATGGGCCACTGAGCTAGGCTGTAGACGTTGGGTTGGGTTGGCTATTATAATTTGGTCGTGAGCGAGTGTTGGACCGAACCAATCGATTGGTAGTGGGTTGTGGGTTAGAGTCTGACCCAGATCTGGATTCGGATCTAGATCCGACGGATTCGTCTTCTTCACCTGACTCAGCACGATTTTCTAGTTTTCATCTCTCTCCTCTCTGCGGCTATTTCTTGATGGTGTTAATATAACACATGCAGAAGTAATTTGGATCTTAGGCACTCTAAGTACGTCGATTATAGTAAATTAGCATGCATGTTCATAAGCATTAAAACTCAAGGAGTTTGAGTACTAAACTTCTGTAGTTCAAATTCTTTTTTCTTCATGAACCGGTTTCGAACCACCACTAGTGTCTTCCCTACTATTTTCCGGCGTTAGACCGGGATTGTGGAATCTGTTGAGTGACTAAACTAAGAAGGGATTTAGTATATGTGAAGAGAGAGTTATATTTGAATGCTCATGCAAATTTGAGATTACCAAATTTTTACACTCAAAATTCCACTCAAATTTGTTGGATTACGTGACAAACATGAAGTTTGGTTAAACCATATATTGACACTCAATATTCCACTCAAACTAGGATTTTTCCATTATGTGAAGTCAACCTTTTGACTTTCTCCGTTTTAATTCAATAATTAATTTTAAATTAAAGTAATATTAAATGATTAAACATTTTAATTAATATTTAACATTAATTCAAATGTCAATCCCAATCAATTCCAATTCCAGCACATATTGATTATGAATCCTTATTCATAATTAAAATATTTAAATCTTATTTAAATATCTCAAATTCTCTCTCTTTGTTTAATTCGTAATTAAAATAAAAATGTGGTTAAATATATCGTATATATTTAATGCGTATTCCCTAATTTGAATTCGAACACTTTGAACTCACTCGTCACATTGTTATATGGATTAGTCTGATATGAGCTAGCAGGGGGACCTAATGGACCTATAGATCATAGGCTCCAACGATCCGAGATTAACCAGGTAAACTCATTAACCTTGTTAAACAACATTCGTTAACTACTAGGACACTCCACTATAGCCTAGTAGTTACACTTCCCTCACTATAGATATATCTCTATCCATTTGATATAACCATGATTAGTAAGTCGATCCTTCACAGGTTGTTTGTAACTAGAGATGGGTCAATTTACCGTTTTACCCGTGAAGTTACTTCTTGTTCCTTATGTCCCACTGATCCTCTGATGAACAATTGGTTTGTGGTCCAACCAGTAAACCGAATCCCTCTTAGGCCAATGAGAGGGTGTGACCCCTTGTTCAAGACATGGAGTCAGTACGTAAGGGAACAACCTCTCTACTATCCCTAAAAGTTGGTAGGAGTGAATTTCATCTTGCACCCTATGTCCCCAGCTATTCACTTAGTCTTACCCCTGAAATTGGAGACTTATTGAGTCGGCGAACTCGAGCCATTCTCACTCATAAAAATCTATGGATAATTTCAAATAAACAAGAGTTCATAGTAAACTCAGGATTAAGATCGAGTTACCTAGGACATTGAATGAAAAAATAAGTATCAATAATAAACGACATTATAAAGTGAGAGTGATTTTCTTCATGGTCTGATCTTATGCAATACTCATTGCATAGGACGGCCCAACTCACATGTCCCACATGTACAATTTAGTGATCACATTGTTTATATCATATATAAAAGTGGGCCGCATCAATAGTGTCCCCAAGATAAGGTACTCAGCCTTATCCCTGTACTATAGATCATTTTGACTATATACTTGAACTTGATCCACTCTTATGTCTCTACGTATAGTTCAAGTAATCATACTATAGCCAGAGTGTTCTTAGTTTATTTGGTTTAGATTAATGATTGTAAAATTTACTTTATTCGATAACATTCTTTACTTAATAAACATCAATAATAATTTTATTGAAAATAGAATATGTTTTTGTTTACAAACTATGAGTTTTATGGCATAAAACCCAACATTTCTGATGTTCTTTCTCATCGTTTTCCTCTTGTAACTCTTTGTTGGACTCTATGCTTTTCTTTCATGAAGTCTCGTGGCTTGTAGATGCCTAAAATGACACCTCTATGAGCTTCTTAAAACCTAAAAATTGAATCTGGATTTCGACGACACACGACGTTATTCAAGTGTATAAAGCTTACCTCTCGTGTATGTGGGATCATCGGTGGTATTTCTGTGTCATGAACCAAGCGTTTCAACGTCGAGTTTGGTCATTGTAGGTGTGAGTTCTAGGTTATGGAGTGATAAGATAAGGAATCAATACAAGGGGAATAAGATTCGGATTACCTTGTTGATCGAATATCTCAAGGCAAGAAGAACGCTTGATTGAGATTCGAATCACTCCACAAGCAAGATTGATCATGTCTAGCTTGAATGATTCTTGTTGATTAAATATCTCAAACACTTGTAACCCACCCAAAATTTGTAACATTCATACTTAATGACCATAATTAGCCATTATGTAAATGTAACCTAAAGTAAATAAAATGTCTTAAAATACAATAACTCTAAATTACTCTAATCTCACATCTTCATTAAAGTATATTGTATGAATGATGTCTCTTGGTTCATATCATGGAGTCTACTGCTTATAATCTCACATCTTCATTGAAGTATATTGTATGAATGATGTCTCTTGGTTCATATCATGGAGTCTACTGGTTATTTATAGCTTAGTTGACGATTATACATAGAAAAACTATATATATGCTAAATGACATAAAGTGGGAAAGCTATATAATGGTAGATGGTTATGGAAAATTATCTATTATCTAACCAAACATTTCTCAAGCGTATAAAGCTATATATATTGGTAGGAAGATTATCTTTACCATGACCTTGATGTCGACATGTCTTAGGATAAGCTGGATACCATGACTATGAAGCAAGGGAAGCTCAAAGATCGACATATATTAGGATCGATTCGATTGACGCTATCTAGGAACGTGGTGTTCAACATATTTATAGGTATTGTCAATATGCTTCAAATTCCTTAAAATCTCTTAAGGAACACTTGATTACCTTCACTAGAAGGAGGGTTTGAACCTCCGATCTTGTGTGATTAAGAGACACACGCTCTAACCAACTGAGTTATTCCAGCCTGTTAATTAAAATTTTTCGGGCCCACCACTAGTAGATGTTGTCTACTTTGATCGTTACGCATAGCCGTCAGCCTCACGATTTTAAAATGTATCTACTGTGGAGAGGTTTTCCAGCGTCCTCGTTGGCAGTCTACTAGGGAGAAGTTTCCACACTCTTATAAGAAATGTTTCATCTTCTCTCTAACCGATTTGGGATCTTACAATCCATTCTCTTGGGGGCCAGCGTCTTCGCTGGCACACTGCCTGGTGACTAACTATGATACCATTTATAACAGCTCAAGACCATCTAGCAAATTTGTCCACTTTGGCGCATTACGTATCACCATCCGCCTCACGGTTTTAAAATGTGTCTACTAGGAAGATTATTCCACACCCTTAAAAGAAATTCTTCCTTACCCTCTCCAACCACTAGCAGATATCTTCCATTTCGGTCTCTTATGGATCACCATCAACCTCAGTTTTAAAATGCGTCTATTAAGAGAGGTTTCCACACTCTTATAAGGAATGGTTCATTCCCCTCTCCAACCGACGTAGGATCTATTAAAAAGTTGTAGGATGATTGAGTGTTCTAAGGTGCCAAAATCAAGTTTTGGCCCTTGTAAGAGGGCATGGGTTCAAATCCCACTTTTGTCACAATTAAAATTATTGTGTTACTCTAATGGGCTAGCAAAAATGGAAAACATCTACTTATTACCATGGTTGGGTTGTTATCATGAAATGATAAGAACTTTTTAGAAATCTTTTTACCTTTTCGAATTTAATTACAATAAATCGTGAGGTTGAGATATAAATAATAAGAAAAAGAGAAAAAAGCTAAATTATGATCATCGTTTTAGCATACATCATCAACACATCATCAAACGTAATCATATAACTCATACACATCATCATACATCATATGTCAAGCATCATATTAATAAAGAATAAAGGACACGTGTCAGTGCAACTAGGCACGTGTTGTCATACATCAAACAATTGCCTACTCTATCCTGTAGTAAGGCTATTTACTTGGTTGACCTTCACCGGCATTTCTCTACTTTCGGATTTGCTAAGCTTTCGTTCCTCGAAGTTTCTCCAAACATTACCGTTTGTCGTTTCCTATTATAGCGTTCATTTCATTTCATTAACATTTCACATTTATAATGTAGTTGAACTTGAATTCATGAAATAGTGCATCATATTGGCCTTATTTATCTTAATTTTGGTCAAATTAGCTTCGAGAGGGTAAAAAATTGTAGGAGTCAATGTCAGAATAGGCAAACCGAGCGTTTTAAGCATAAGGACTATGTGCAGCCATGCTGAGCTGTGAAGTCGAGGGGTTCTTTTTGTTGTAAGTTGACGTGTGGCGCAATAAGGCGCTGACCCTTGTGCAGGCTAAATTGGGTCGACGTGCGGGTCAAGGGACGATTACTTGGTCGCGGCATGGGTGCTGGGCTATTGCAGATGGGTCTTAGGTAATTGGGCTTCGCCATGGACTGTCAGGTTTTCGGCTGCAGGCGTTGCGGGTTGGATGGGTAGACGTGGGATCGTGGGTGCTAGGCTGCTGAGCTTGGCTGCAAACATTGGGTTGGGTTGGCTATTATAATTGGGTCGTGAGTGTGTGTTGGACCGAACCAATGGATTGGCAGTGGGTTGTGGGTTTGAGTTTAACCGAGATCCGGATTCGGATCTAGATTCGATAGATTCGTCTTATTCGCCCGACTCAACGCGATTTTCTGTTTTTCATCTCTTTCCTCTCTATGGCTATTTCCAACATTCTTTCTCATCGTTTTCCTCCTCTAACTCTCTGTCGTGTATGTTGGATCATCGATGGTGGGTTTGAGTTTAACCCAGATCCGGATTCGGATCTAGATTCGACAGATTCCTCTTATTCGCCCGACTCAACGCGATTTTCTAGTTTTCATTCCTCGTCTACTCTTTGTTGGACTCTCTACTTCTCTTTCACAAAGTCTTGTGGCTTGTAGATGCCAAAAACGACACATCCATGAACTTCTTAAAAACTAAAAATTGAATCTGGATTTTTTTTTTGACGACACACGACGTTATTCAAGCACAACTAAAGCTTACCTCTCGTGTATGTTGGATCGTCGATGGTCTTTTTTGTGTCGTGAACCAAACGTTTCAACGTCGAGTTTGGTCATTATAGGTGTGAGTTTTGTAATAGTAGAGAGCTATATCAAGTAAAGCTATAAAGGAAGGTTTGAACCTCCAACCTTGTGGTTAAGGTCACACGCTCTAACCAACTAAGCTATTCCAACCAGTTATTTAAAATTGTCCGAGCCCAGTACTAGTAGATGTTGTCTGCTTTGGCTCATTACTTATCGTCGTAAGCCTCACGATTTTAAAACGCATCTACTATGGAGAGGTTTCCCAGCGTCCTTGATGGCAGTCTACTAAGAGAGGTTCCACACGCTTATATGAAACGTTTCAACTTCTCTCCAACCGATTTGGAATCTCACAATCCACCCCTTTGGAGACCCAACGTCTTCGCTGGCACACCGCCTGTGACTAGCTCTAATACCATATTTCAAACCCACCATTAGCAAATATTGTCCACTTTGACGCATTACGTATCACCATCAGCCTCACGGTATTAAAATGCATTTACTAGGAAGATTTTTCCACACCCTTAAAAGCAATGCTTCCTCACCCTCTCCAACCGCTAGCATATATCTTCCTTTTTGGCCTATTTTGGATCGTCGTCAACCTCACACTTTTAAAATACGTCTATTAGTGAAAGGTTTCTACACTCTTACAAGGAATGATTCATTCCCCTCTTCAACCAATGTGGGATTTATTAATAAGTCGTTGGGATGGCCAAGTGGTCTAAGGTGCCAAACTCAAGTTTTGGTCCTCGTGAGAGGGCGTGGGTTCAAATCCCACTTTTGACAAATAGATTGGCTATTATAATTGTGTTGTGTTGGGTCGAACTAATGGATCTTTGTCTCTTTCTCATCGTTTTCCTCCTTTAACTCTTTGTTGGACTCACTGTTTCTTTCTTGCATTTTCTTACGAGTGTGTGTGTAGTGTGATCCTAACAAGGTGAAATTCACCACCATCAAGATCCGAGGTCTTCACGAACCAACCACTGTTTGGGGTAAAACATAATACCATGACCACAAAGCAGTGGAAGCACAAGGCATCTTCTTTTTCTTGTTCTTTGGGTTCATCTAGATCGAGTGTGCAAGTTCCTATGCGATTCTAACAATTGGTAAGGCAAAATTTACCACGATCCGTGAAGATGGAAAGTTCAAAGATTGGAATTGAGAAGTTTGGTGTTCAACATCTTATAACACGATGGAATGTTAAAAGAAGATTGGAATTGAGAAGTTCGATGACAAGATTTCAGTTTATGGAAGATGGAAATTGAAGCAGGCTATTAGGAATGTGGTGTTCAACATCTTATATCAATTCAAGGGTTATGATTCAATAGAATATGTAAGACAATAATATTATCAAGACACTCATAAAGAACAAATGATCACCAACACTAGAAGGAGGGTTTGAACCTCCGACCTTGTGGTTAATAGCCACACACTCTAACCAACTGAGCTATTCCAGCCAATAATTTAAAATTCTCCGAGTCCAGCACTAGTAGATGTTGTTTGCTTTGGCACGTTACGTATCGTCGTCAGCCTCACAGTTCTAAAACGCATCTACTATGGAGAGGTTTCCCAGCGTTCTTGTTGGCAGTCTACTAGGGAGAGGTTTCCACACACTTGTAAGAAATGTTTCATCTTCTCTTGAACCGATCTGGAATCTCACAATCCACCCTCTTGGGGGCCCAGCGTCTTCGCTGGCACATCGCCTGGTGACTAGCTCTGATATCATATCTCAAGCCCACCATTAGCAGATATTGTCCACTTTGGTGCATTACGTATCACCACCAGTCTCACGGTTTTAAAATGCGTCTACTAGGAAGATTTTTCCACACCCTTAAAAGAAATGCTTCCTCACCCTCTCCAATCGCTAGCAGATATCTTCCATTTTGGCCAGTTATGGATCGTCGTCAGACTCATAGTTTTAAAACACGTTTATTAGTGAGAGGTTTCCACGCCCTTATAAGGAATGGTTCATTCCCCTCTCCAATCAATGTGGGATCTATTAGTAAGTAGTTAGGATGGTTGAGTGGTCTAAGGCACCTGACTTAAGTTTTGGTCCACGTGAGAGGGTGTGGGTTCAAATCCCACTTTTGATACAATACAAATTATTGTGTATTAGTCTAATGGCTAGGGAAGAAATGAATGACTTTCACCGTTAACCATGGTTGGGTTGGGTTGGGTTATATCATTAAATGAAATGTGCACTTCTTAGATCTTCTTTTTACCTTTAATTTAGTTACAATAAATGGTGAGACTTTTACGTTAACCATGGTTGGGTTGGGTTATATCATTAAATGAAATGTGAACTTCTTAAATCTTCTTTTTACCTTTAATTTATTTACAATAAATGGTGATGTTTAGAGATATAAATAATAAGCGAAAGAGAGTGAAGAAAAAAGCTAAACTATGATCATCTTTTTAGATTAATGATCGTAAAATTTACTTTATTCAATAACAATCTTTACTGAATAAACATCAATAATAACTTTATTGAAAATAGAATATGTTTTTGTTTACAAACTATGAGTTTTATGACATAAAACCAAACATTTTTATTGTTCTTTCTCATCGTTTTCCTCCTATAACTCTTTATTGGACTCTCTGCTTCTCTTTCACGAAGTCTCGTGGCTTGTAGATGCCTAAAACGACACATCTATGAGCTTCTTAAAACCTAAAAATTGAATCTGGATTCTGACGACACACGACGTTATTCAAGCGTATAAAGCTTACCTCTCGTGTATGTGGGATCATCCACACCCTCTAACCAACTGAGCTATTCCAGCCAATTATTTAAAGTTTTTTGAGCCCACCATTAGTAGATGTTGTCTGCTTTGGCTCCTTACGTATAGCCGTCAGCCTCATGGTTTTAAAACACATCACTATGGAAAGGTTTTCCA